ATCCCACAGCATCCACTTACCATTAGGTGGGCTATGTGTTAGCTTGTCACTGTTATTCTACAAATAAATTATTCACTGCTCATATAATAAAGATAACTAATACAAAGACAAAGAATAGTGTCGAGTATATCACTCACCATCGGTTCCGTGAACTATATAGTCATTATGGCCGAATAGCTGTAGGATCTTAGCATGGTGTTCAACACCTCAAAAGTTTTTTTCAATATAGTAGGTCTTAAGAAGAACATACGTGGTAGAGACACGCTGCAGCTATATTATGGTTGTAGCACTAATGGGTCTGCTCAAGAAGGGGAAGGACCACGCTTTCACTGAATACAGCGTATTGCTGTATTTCTTCTGGTGAGTGTAGAGAACCGGAGGCCCTTCTTACTGAAAACGAGGCATACCATCCTGGACCTAAGGGGTGACAACGCAGCTGCAGTTTGATTCTTAATCCAGGATTGATGTAGACGTCCATAGGCGACATAATCCACTTATCATCAGGTGGACCGTGTGCTCGCTTGTCGCCATAATACAATCGCAAACTCCGTACCCCATTTAAGACAGACGCCTTTTATGACAAACTAGGCAGGTAAACACAGTTGGCACATTATTTTTTCTTATGATTCTTTATTCATTATTTCATGATGGTCTAGGTCATAAGTGCCACATAAACATGGGACCTATAAATCTTAGACCAACATGGGGCTCCCAGACCAACAACGTGAACAACGCCTCTTAATATTGAGACAGATATGAAAGATCAAACAAATATTTCACTTTTGAGTTTCTTCTTATTCCCATTCTCACAAGGTCTTCTTTGCAATACGACTTAGTAAAATCTACATAAATAAATAAAATTGATGTGTCTATTTATAATGTCAAAATTACAGCTTTTTACTAAATGCATATGAAAGTATATACAGTACTAACAACAAAAATACAATTTTTGAAGTGTTTGTCTGTCTGTCTGTCTGTCTGTTTGTTCCGGCTAATCTCTGAAACGGCTGTACCGATTTTGACGGGATTTTCACTGACAGATAGCTGATGTCACAAGAAGTAACTTAGGCTACTTTTATTTTAGAAAAAGAATTAGGTTTCCGCGCAAAAAAATTTAAATTCCAAATAACACACGGGCAAAGTTGCGGGGAACAGCTAGTGTAAAATATAACTTAAATTAAAAAATTAAATAACCCCCAAAACAAAAAGAGCTGATGGTCTTTAAACGGCTGAACAGATTTTCTTGAAACATATCTAAGAACACTCTCGATTAAGACACCTTTCAAACGAAAAAAAAAAACTAATCAAAAACGGTTCATCCCTTCAGAAACTATAATGCCACGGACTATGAAGACACACAGATACACACTACAAACTTAAAACTTACACCACCACTCTGTTTTCGTCTTGGGTTAAAAAGGATACATTTCGGAGAAAGAGCGCAGAAATTGCATTACTTGATTCCTCCCTTTCCATTACAACATCGGACCACCAGACGATTGACTGATTTCCACTTCCACACATTTTAACAATTAACACTTCCACACATTACTTCCACACATTTTAACACTTCCACACATTTTAACACTTAAATTATTTAACATTATTTGCAATGAATTTAATAATACTTTTACTTCTAAAACATTCTCCTTGAACAGTCGGAAGTCATTCAATGAATGGGCAACAGTAGGAGTTCATAAGAGCAGGCATAGGTTATATGATCTTTACCATGAAAGGTCATATAATCATAGTTTCGAATTTAGGGAATATGTAAAAAAATATTCAAAAATATTTAAAAGAGTGTGCTCCATAGCCAAGTCTTTGCATTTGAGCAACAAAATTAAGACGGCTTCCAATAAAATTAAAATGACATGGAGTATAATTAATAGCGAAACTGGTAAGATCAACTCTCGCAATTCAAATTACGAGCAGTTAAGTGTTAACAACAAATTAACTGTATCAGATCAGGACGTAGCAATGGTTTTTGAGAAATACTTTACTGATATTCCGATATTGACCACTAAGTCACTGAATTCTTCTCCTGCCGTCGCCGAATCTTTACTTAAACAAAATGTAAATGTGTGTACAAAGAATTTTACATTTCATAAACTGTCATCAAAAGATATTGTAAAATATTTTAAAACTATTGATATTAAGAAAACCGCGGATCTGTGGGGGATTTCCATTAAAGTTATTGCGTCTATAATAGATACAATCGCGCCTCATTTAGCTATTATTTTTTATACTAGTATCGAATCTGGTGTGTTTCCTGATTTAATGAAGCATAGTAAAGTAATACCTTTATTTAAATCTGGTAGTACATTAGACCCCGCCAATTTTAGACCTATTTCTGTACTACCAATACTTAGTAAGATTTTTGAAAAAATTGTCCTTGATCAAATGTTAATTTTTTTTAATATAAATAATTTACTTCATAAAAATCAATTTGGTTTCACAAGGGGTCGCTCGACAACTGATGCCGGTGTTGAGCTGATTAAATATATTTTTAATGCATGGGAGAATTCACAGGATGCTTTGGGTATATTTTGTGGCCTATCCAAGGCCTTCGATTGTGTTCACCATGAAACATTAATCAGGAAATTTCAACACTACGGTGTAAGTAGTGATGCTCTTAAATTAATTATTTCATATTTAAGTAAGAGAACGCAAAAAGTTGTCATTAACAATATGAGCTCTTCCGGATCGATGGTACAAATGGGCGTGCCTCAAGGCTCAATTCTCAGCCCCTTTCTGTATCTTGTATACATTAATGACTTACCTTACATAGTAGGGGATAACCATGATATAGTATTATTTGCAGATGACACTTCTTTAATTTTCAAATTAAGTCGACAATTACTAAAATATGACGAAGTAAATAATGCTATATCTAAATTAGTAAATTGGTTCGATGTTAATAATTTGCATTTAAATGGCACTAAAACGAAATGTATGAAATTCACGACTCCAAATGTCAAACAATTAAATACTAATGTAATTTTAAATGGGGAGAAACTGAGTCTTGTAGATACCACCATTTTTCTTGGAATCACACTAGACGCGAAGCTTCAATGGAGCCCCCATATATAAAAACTAGCAAGCAGACTTAGTTCTGCAGCATATGCTGTAAAAAAGATTAGAAGTGTAACCAGTGTTGAAACAGCTAGACTAGTTTACTTTAGCTATGGGGACACGCAGCTAACACTGAAATTATATTTGTTTTACAGAAGAGGGCCATAAGAGCAATTTATGATTTAAAGCCTAAAGAGTCGCTGCGACAAAAATTTAAGGAAATTAATATATTAACTTTGGCCTCTCAATACATTTATGAAAATGTAATGTACGTACACAAATATAAAAGTAGTTTTACAAAAATAAGTGATATTCATTCTGTAAATACTAGGAACAGACACAAGTACCAGTTACTCGACTCCATCGAGTCAGTAATTCATTCTTGGGGCGATGTATACGCTTTTACAACAAAATTCCAGAAAATATACAAAGTTTGACCTGCTCAAAGTTCAAAAAATTTATTAAACTAAGTTTGTATAAAAAGGGTTATTATAATATTAAGGAATTTATGGATGATAATAACCCCTGGAAATGAGGTGATCGCTACCAAGCTATTTCTAATTTGTTGTGTTGTTAATTTGTGTAACATCATGATTGTAAGCTGTTATTTAAAAAAAAGTCCCGCTGGGTTTCTTGCTGGTTCTTCCCAAGCTGTCCTGGTTTTTCGAACCAGTGGTAATCAAACAAATGAGTGACTTTCAATAAGTATTATTTATAATCTATATTGAATAAAAAGTTTCTGTTTCTGTTTCTGTTTCAAAAAACACATTTTAACACACTACTTCCACACATTTTAACACTTCCACACATTTTAACACACTACTTCCACACATTTTAACTCCTTACGTCCACACATTTTAACACTTCCACACATTTTAACACTTCCACACATTTTAACACTTCCTCACATTTTAACACATTACTTCCACACATTTTAACACTTAACACATTTTAACACTTCCACATATTTTAACACATTACTTCCACACATTTTAACACTTAACACATTTTAACACTTCCACACATTTTAACACTTCCACACATTTTAACACATTACTTCCACACATTTTAACACTTAACACATTTTAACACTTCCACATATTTTAACACATTACTTCCACACATTTTAACACTTAACACATTTTAACACTTCCACACATTTTAACACTTCCACACATTTTAACACATTACTTCCACACATTTTAACACTTAACACATTTTAACACTTCCACATATTTTAAGACATTACTTCCACACATTTTAACACTTAACACATTTTAACACTTCCACACATTTTTGGCACACTGTACGGCTCTACGGCGCCGTGGCTTAGCAATGAGTTGCTGCGTTGCGGGCCGCGGGTTCGAATCCCGCACGGAACAAGTATTTGTATGGCCTACAAATAATTGTTCCGTGTCTGGATGTTTGTCCTTGTGCAATTTGTGTTTGTAAACTGCCTCCACGATACAGGAGAAAATCCTATTGTGGGGGTAATGTCTTTGTAAATAAAAAAAATTTAACACTCACACATTTTGTTATCGTCGTGCATGACAAATACAGCAATGAAGTGGAATAATCTACCAGTGTCTGTATTCCCATCCGATCACAATGTGGATGTCATCAAGACTAGACTGAATAGGCTTTTGTTAAACTAAGTCAGTGCACTTTACCACCTTCGGCAGCATCACCACTTACCATCAGGTGGCATAGTATTCAAGCACTGGCTTAATAGTAAAAAAAAAAAGCATAACTACTTTGACTTTCAAAAAAAGCTTCTAAATAGCCATTTTTAAATAAAAATAATTCACTATTTTATAAATAAAATTTTAGTCAACTTCGGTTTAAACCCTAGTATGGTTTAAACCGAAATTAACGTTCGTGTGTGAAATCTTAACAAAATGTCACACTCATTTTATTTCTAATTCCAGGTCTAACAAGTGTGCAAAGGTTTGGGCCCTGCGATGCTGAAGAGACTAGAGCAGAGATCTTTACTGACCATACGGCTATTTTGCCATTTTCCCCTAAAGCTCGAATAGCTTACTACAATGTACGTTACAAAATATATATATTCATTTAAATCTACCTACACTAACGTCATTATCATCATCATCATTACAGCCGGTATTATAAGTCCACTGCTGAACATAGGTATTTGCAAGAAATGCCACCAAGAATGTACAAGCCACGTGCATCCATTACCTTTCTGCACCACTTAACAGGTTGTCACTCCATTTGATGGGGAGCCGGCCTAAACGTCGCTTACGGTACGACGCCTCCCTCCACCGATGCATACCCCACATCGTCCAGTGGGTGGACATCTTCCTGATAAAAACACAAAATAATAAAAAACCTACAGTTGCCAACCCGCATGGCAAGCGTGGCAACTCGTGACAAAATGGGGGACCTATGTTCAATAGTGTACTTTTTTTATAGGCTGTAATAAATATAATGTATAATTAATAGAATCAGGCGTTACTTTGCGGAAATCCATTATATAAAAGCTTTTAGAAAAATTTACTTCGCAAATATCCGCGTTATAAAATAAAATGATGTGTCTTACCTAGTATGAAGAGCACCTCCCGCCCTCCTTCAATTGCGTGCACTATCCCCGTCACCACTAATCCCAGCACCGCTACTCCCAACACCACTACACTAGGCAAGACACACCACTGACGATAATACGACACGTGTTTCGCCTCTACACGGAGCATCCTCAGGTGATATAGACTCTACGGTGGCTAACCTCTAAGTGAGCGGCGAGCCAAAACAAGTGCCTTTTATACAGACCGCTGACGCAACTGCCCTCTACTTAAGGAGCGAGCGACTGCGTCATGCGATAAAACACGACTGCGTCATGCGTAAGTCCGGCGGTGATTGGTCGCATGCTTTATTCATTCTCTATCATGTTATGTTAGTACAGCTAAATGAAACGATAATTTCATAAAAAAACATGAAAATACTGAAACATAAAACCAGCAGTGGAATTACTGAATTGATATCAGCTGACTAGAGGTCAATGTACGCGCGAACGCGAATTCGCGCGGCCCGCGGCCGGCCATACCACAATAACTAATAATTTACAACACTTGTCTAAATACCTAACTTATCTACTTAACCTACTATTTTGCCACTGTGCTTGTCTCCACGTAGCCACTTTAATCCGAATTTACAGGTTAAATAACCCAAATAACTGGTTCGATTCCCCGCTAGTGAAAAAATACTTAAATGAAATGTAACCAAGGTTAGATTCATGCGTTTTTATTCATCGTGTAGGTATGTTTATTATTCTCATGTATTCAGTAATGTACCTATTCAGATTAGTTCAGTACTAAGTAATTTAAAAATTAAGGATCGATTTTATATTCCACCCATCATCAAAGATATAGTTGGTACTGTCGTCTGTCTTAGTTTTCGGGAGCGTTCCAAAAATACCCTGTATACTCTGGAACTCTGGACTCTGGAATGACATCCATCTTGACATTAAAAAAGCTTGCTAAGTTTATTCAAAAACAAACTTGTTAGTTTTATATATATAACAACTGTTTTGCTCATTCTGTGGTTGTCCATCATGGCCGATCGTGTATAGGCGGGGAAAGGAATGCTAGCCCATGATTGTGTGCGCGTCCACACAATCGCCGATTTCTCAGTACGTAGTTGTCTCTCTGTCTTTTTGTTTTACTTACTTTAACCGAATCCTTTAGTACTGTATTCAGAGCTAAGCATACTTCAGGGATAATAACAGATATAATTTGACTAGATATTTTAAATAAATAATGTAAACTTCTATATGAATCTCCAGTTGCTAAAAATCTCAACGTAATTTCGGCAAGCTGTTTATTCATACTTTGCCTGAAATAAAAAAAAATGTTAGCTAATTTGTTTATTCATCTGGTATCAACGAACACTATTTCATTTTTATTTATTAACTGTACCTTGTTCTGTTCCGGTTAATAGCCACCATCCACCACCATCTCTTCATCCATTTAGTTTTCACAATTCTCTTTTCGCGCACAATAAGTAAATGATTATAAGAGCTAAGTAAAAATATTACCGCAGCCGCGATCACTTCGATATCCATCTTCGATAGACGTCTTATCATAAAAGTACACAGTCAGTAAATGAATTGACACGATTGTGTGGAGAGCTGTCCGATCATGGCCCATTGTCAAGAGGAGCCGTAACGCCGCCTATACACGTTCGGCCATGATGGACAACCAAAGAATGGGCAATGATTATCACAATCATTGCGCGGCTGAGCACACGATCGTGCATCCGACATATTTGTATTGTCATCCGTCCGAGACGGACGTAGAAACAGTTGCAGCTACCGCTACTTATTTACTTAATTAGTTTATATGTATAAGCATTATTTAAATGTACGCCTTAAAAGATTGGTGAAAAAAAATTAAGCAAAAAAGGTGGATGTTAACTATACACCGAAATAAAACAAGGTAAGTTTATAGAGCATCGGCGATCATGTAGACGCGCGCACGATCATGGCCGAACTTTCTTTGATGATTGTCTGAAAAACCAACACAGCGGCGATTACGCTCGATCATAACTGATCATGGGCGATTACAGGCGATCATGCCCTCCACACGATCGTGATTGCTAGTATTCGTCCATCGAGGTGTGACCAGCCGCGCAATGATTGTGACAGTCATCGCCCGTTCTGTGGTTGTCCATCATGGCCGATCGTGTATAGGGCCCATCAGACAGATGACAATACAAATATGTAGGATGCACGATCGTGTAGGCAGCCGCGCAATGATTGTGACAATCATGGCCCATTCTGTGGTTGTCCATCAATGCCGATCGTGTATAGGGCCCATTAGGATTGGATAGGATTCTAAAAACGTTAACAATGATTATCTCCTGGATTGTGGAAGCAGTTAACAAATATAAATTGCACAAAGACAAACATCTAGGCCCGCAATAATTATTCAACCGAATTCGAATCTGCGCTGCCACTCAATGCTTAGCCAGTGCGCCATGGGGATGTCAATGTTCAGCAGTAGACATGTGAAGAGCTGTAAGTATGATGAATATTATGATGACGATTGTATGTGTAATGATGCTAATATTGATGAAGGTCGTTACTCGTTATCTTTAATATTTAATCATAATTTTCAGCACTATTATTTAGGGTTTTACAATTTAAAAATTATATTTTGCAATACCCACCTCGCTCCTAATAGCAGCCTTTTGCTGTTTAATAATTCATTAAATAAATATTATAGTGGTCATAACTACCATTATCGACTCATATCATTATTATCGACATCGACATCATACATTATAGACAAAAAAATCAGTAATCGATGCAAAGAACATTCCAAATTTAAAGACACTGTTATAATCTGTCGGTGTAAATTTAAATCAAAAGACGTGGCCAACAAACAAACAACGGTCATTTATTATATGTTTTGACCAGTTTAGGAACTGAGAAAGTATTTTTGACAGTCCACCTGGTAGTAAGCGCACGACCTAAGGTTGGAGACCCATTGTCACCTCTTCCTAACCTCGATTAAAGGGTCCAAATGCAGATGTACTCTGATCACTAAGGAGTAAGGACTAAGATGGAATGCTTCGTTAACATTAAAATCGCTATGCTTACACTGAAAGTATAGTCCTTTCCCGATCGAATAGACGCATTGATACCGTAGCCATAATATAGTTACAGCCTAACTGTACCATGTTAAAACGTGTCTTCGTTTTAATTTTCAGTTTTTGATTAAGAAAATTAACTTACATATATCGATCATTGTCTTTTAAGAATTAAAAAGATTGACGGTGGGATTATGAAATCTTTTTCCACAATTCCCCAAACGTCCACTTTACCTGGACGCAGTCGGCCTGATGATAGACGAATCTGGCAACCAATTGATGGTGGAAACCCAACCAAAAGCACCTGACCTAAATTTCTCAGACTCCGATCAGAATTACGAGTACAAGTTCTAGGGTTGCCAACTTTTTAAATGAACGGCTATTACCTCTAAATATAACAAATACCGAGTAGCGGTTACCGTGTTGTGGCGGTGTTAGAATATCCACTACCCCATATCATCCCGTCGATGTCGTAAGAGGTGACAGCGGGAAATACATCAGAAGATGGCCAGAAGCATCTTTCTAACAACGACTTAAAATATAAAAATTGCGGTTGCCAACCAGCATGCGTGTCAACTATGGCAATTATCCCCCTATGAGGTAATCCATGGGTAGGCCTATATTCAGCAGTGGACATACATAATATATAGGTTGTAACGGTAACGGTATATAGATATATATATATATATATATATATATATATATACCGTATGGCTCTCCAGCACCTTAAAAACGGTAAGGCCCCAGGCGAGGATGGAATTACAGCGGAGCTTCTGAAAGCGGGTGGAAAACCGGTACTTGAAGTCCTTCAGAAGCTCTTTAATTCCGTCCTCCATGGTGGCATTACACCGGAGGCGTGGAGCAGAAGTGCGGTGGTCTTGTTCTTCAAGAAAGGTGACAACGCTCTCTTGAAGAACTACAGACCGATTTCCCTTCTGAGCCGCGTCTACGTGCTGTTTTCGAGAGTCATTACGAATCGTCTCGCGCGCAGACTTGACGACTTCCAGCCTCCCGAACAAGCCGGTTTCCGAAAGGGCTTTAGCACCATAGACCACATACATACCCTTCGGCAAATTGTACAGAAGTCCGAAGAGTACAATTTGCCACTATGTCTGGCGTATGTGGACTATGAGAAAGCCTTTGATTCCGTCGAAATTTGGGCGGTGCTGCAGTCCCTTCAGCGGTGCCAAGTTGACTATCGGTATATCGAAGTGTTGAAGTGCTTGTACAGTAGGGTTACGATGGCTATCCGAGTACAGAACCAGAGTACGAAACCTATCCAATTGCAGAGAGGTGTAAGACAGGGTGACGTCATATCCCCGAAACTCTTCACCGCTGCATTGGAAGACGTTTTCAAGCTTCAGGACTGGAAAGGATACGGTATCAACATCAATGGAGAGTACATCACTCACCTTCGATTTGCCGACGATATAGTCCTTATGGCAGAATCGCTGGAGGACCTAAGCACTATGCTCAATGACCTCGATAGTGTTTCCCAACGGATAGGTCTTAAGATGAACATGGACAAAACAAAGATCATGTTCAATGTCCATGTCACACCTATGCCGGTAGTTGTTGGGAGCACTAAGCTCGAAGTTGTTGACGAGTATGTTTACCTGGGACAAATAGTCCGACTAGGTAAGTTCAACTTCGACCGAGAGGTCAATCGACGGATTCAACTCGGCGGGCAGCGTTCGGGAAGCTACGACACATCTTCTCGTCAGACATACCTCAAAACCTGAAAACGAAATTGTACAACCAGTGCGTGTTGCCAGTGATGACTTATGGAACTGAGACGTGGTCCTTCACTGCTGGCCGTATGAGGAAGCTCAAGGTCGCTCAGCGAGCTATGGAGAGGGCTATGCTCGGAGTTTCTCTGCGTGATAAACTTAGGAATGAGGATATCCGCAGTAGAACCAGAGTAACCGACATAGCCCAACGGATTGGTGAGCTGAAGTGGCAGTGGGCCGGCCATATAGCTCGAAGAACCGACAACCGATGGGGAAGAAAGGTTCTCGAGTGGCAGCCTCGTACCGGTAGGCGAAGTGTAGGGCGTCCCCCCACGAGATGGAGTGACGACCTGGTAAGACATGCAGGAAGTCGATGGATGCAGGTGGCTCAGGACCGTGCTTTGTGGCATTTTTTGGGGGAGGCCTATGTTCAGCAGTGGACTTGTGAAGGGCTGTAATGATGATGATGATGATGATATATATACTAGCTGACCCGGCGAACTTCGTACCGCCTAATAGTCGATTCTTTGAGTAATGTTACCCGGGCCTTCCCGGGACCCCTCTACTAACACTTAAACTTTATGTTATGGTATTAAGGTTCAAATTAAAATACGAATATAGAAAGGTGTTGTTTTTAGACCTTTTCAGGCAATTTTTTTAATTTTTATCTCCGTATGAACCATTTTCGTACTTCAAAGAATATTATAAAAAAAGAATTAGCATTATATATTATTATTAGAATTATATATATATGTAAGCAATTTAATTTTGTTTTATATATATATATACAAAACAAATTTTGTAGTCGTGGTAACTCAGATGCTTAGCGCTCGCTGTAAGTTTCACAGTACGTAAGCAACGCGGGTACGATCCCCGCCGGTACCAATGAAATTGTTAATTGCAATTTTAAGTGCTGATTTACCACGTGCTCGGCGGTTAAGGAAAACATCGTGAGGAAAGCTGCATGTCTGAGAAATAAGAAAAAAACATTTCGAAGACATGTGAAGTTCGCCAACACGCATTGGGGCAGCGCGGCGGACCTTTCCTTGCCCTAAAACCCTCTCAGAAATGAGAGGAGGTCTGTACCCAGCAGTGGAACGTATATAGGCTGTAACTTTAACTTTTTTTTTAAATACAAAACAAAATTACATTGCTTACAATTACATTACATCAATAATTAATATATACAAATTTTATCTATTTAGAATTATGATGTCAAATATTATAAAGCTAAAGCAAACAGGTGTTGTCAAATGCAGGAGTCCGTACTGCAGTAGTCACTTAGGTACTATTATGTCGACAGTAAGCTTATTCGTCACTTCAGTTTAAAAAAAACATGTGTGCAGTTCACACGTGGTAGACATGAAACCTTCACAAACGGAGACCGAGAAAATAGGAAACGATAACGTGGTAGAGCCACGCCCGTCCAGAGTCCAGGTCAGAGTTTGGGGAGGGACCACGATTTCGCAGAATAGCAGCGTAAAAAAAGCAGCTTAATGGTGTTGTGTTTCGTATAATGAGTGTAGAAAACCGAAGACCCTTTTTACAAGAAACTAGGCATTCTATCTTAGTTCTCATGGATGACAACGCATCTACATTTTGATTCTCAATCGGGGATAAATGTCTGTGGGCCACAGCAACCCCGTACCATCAGACAGATTAAGTGCACGTTTGTCACCTTTATTATAAAAAAAAACACTGTTTACTGTATTTTATCTCATTCTTTCGCAGGCTATGGTCCTAGATGTATATTTTTGTATTTTTCTTCTTCGAGTTTCAAATCACAAATATACTAAAGAACTTTTCACTTCAAAAACAGCTTAAGTACAAGATTCAAAAATTTATCAACGTTTTACTATCAACTAAAAAAATCTCACTCACCCATCGCTGGTTCTTGGTCAGATAGAATTTAAATAGAATAAAAAATTATTATGTTTTTTTTTTAATTTTACTTAACTTTTTCAACAGTTCACAATATTAGCATCCTACGAATACTCTTGCATCGTGTTCCGGTGCAACCAAAACACAAAGGCGCAACCGAAAATCCGTCTCCGACGTTTGTGCCTCGCCAGCCGCCCAGCCTGCTACCAGTTCTCAACGCTCCAAATTGATTTCGAACTAGAAATTGGCTACTTTGATAACGTCGAGTACCATGTGAATGTGTACGGCGAAGAGCTCAAATTTCTCGACATGAAGAGAATGCTTTTAGATTCTAACAAATATTTAGTACGGCCCGGTATACCTGAATCATATAATATAGATGTCAATCATGGAGGTTACTTTCAAAAAGAAGGTTGGCTTGGTTAAAGGTTGGTTAAATTTTTATTCATCGTAAATTATTAATAATACTTATTGAAAGATTTTTTTGTATTTACCCCTGGTTCGGAAAACACCTCTGTTATGGAAAGAACCAGCAAGAAACCCAGTGGGGCATATTTTTTAAACATATTTCACTTTACAATAATTTTGTTTGTAAATTGAAATTGTGAAAAAACATTTAATCTTGTTTATTGACAAATGACAATGCCAAAATCTCTATAAAACTTTGCCCCCACAATTTTGTGTGGTGTACACAAGTTCTGTATACGTTACATTTTATTGATGTTTTGTTACTTTATCCAAATTATGTCGCGGGTATCAAACCATAAGGCGATTATACAAAATGCGACAATGGATGGACAAATGCAAAAATGCGATTTTTTGTTTTTAATACCATTGCATTATACTATAAGCAATAGTTAATCTCAATTTTTGTTATAATTTAATATTAAATGCTTTTTGAATAAATTACAAAATATCATTTCTCGTAAGCTAGAGACAGTCTGAAATAATTTTAGGCCATATAGCCGTATTTTTTTTATAGGATCAGGTGACAAACGAGCACACAGTCCACCTGATGGTAAGTGGTTACTGTGACCCATAGACATCTACATCTATCCTCAATAAAGACTCAAGATGCACATGCGTTGTCACCCGTGAGGACTAAGATGGAATGCCTCTTTGCCAGTAAAAAGGGTCTCCGGTTCTCTACACTCACCATACGAAACACAGCAGCGTTAAGCTGCTATTTTACGCTGGTTTTCTGTGAGAGCGTGGTCCTTCCCTGTTCGAGCCGACCCATTCGTGCTACAACCATAATATAGCTGCAGCATGGCTCTACCGTATGTAGACGTAAGAGCAATATTGTTTCTTATTGGGGCAGATTTGACGTGCCACAAAGACCTAGGTATGACCGTCAATGTCTACATGATCCTACGGATATTTAGTCTTCAGAGCTGATGTATGTACGTACATACGTCTACATTTTATGGTATCGCTGTGTCTATTCTATTCTATGTCAATAATTAAAACAACAAAGTTCCGAAAAATATACAAGGTCTCCCTATTACCAAGTTTAAAAAATTTAATAAACAAAAATGGTTGATAATATCCCCTAGGAATGAGTTGGTCGCTTCCAAACTGTTTCTTGTATAAGTTTTGTACAACATAATAACAAATTATTGTATGATATATTTTGAAAAAAAAAGTCCCGCTGGGTTTCTTGCTGGTTATACCTAAGACAGAGGCTTTTCCGAACCAGTGGCAAATTTTAAAAAATTATTAAGAATTACTTGTAATCTATGTGTGTTGCATAAAAAAACATTCTATTCTAATAGTATGAGAGATGTTTCATTAGCCTCACATTTGACACCAATGTCTGTATAAAATAACCAACGAAATAATGCTTGCAGAGCTTCTTCAGCTCAAAGCAGACAACTTACACTACTCTCTACACTAATTCCCTCTGCAGCCATTGTTCAGACCTAGCATATTAGAAACACCAACCACCACATCCAATACAAATAATAAAACATTACCAGAAACAATGAGAAACTCTGATGATGATGATTCTATACCATTGTAGGGCGAATGTTAGGAGAGGAGTTAAACAAACGAATGATGATACAAGACTCTCTTTATTGTATTAATAAATTTGATTATATAGGATTATTATTACACTTGTGTGTGTACTTTTATATACCCTTACTACTACTACTACTACACCTTCCATCCAAAAGAAAAAAAAAATGTGTCAATACAAGGATACATTTTTTTTTGATACATTAAAAGATTTTATTTTCGTAAATATTAGGAACAGTTACATTATAAAATAATATATAAGGTATTTATTTTAAGAACATTTTTTTTCTTTTTTTATGATTATTTAATTTAGAATATTTATAATTACGTAATATTAAGTAATCTACAGACAGAAATAATAATAATAACAATAAATGTACTTAGATTCAGCATATAAAATATGTTTTATTTATTATTGGATATACAATTTCGTGCGGTTTTTATGTACTAATTCATTTTTACCATTTGTAATTATTTCTACGTTTGGTGTTACATCTTTAACAACTTTATAAGGACCAGAGTATAGATCACTTAGTTTATTACCTGACTCATTTTTTAAGAGTACTAAATCATTTACATTGTATTTTATAGGCTTGGTATATTTATCAAATATAATTTTTCTCTTTTCTTTAGACTTTATCAAATTATTTCTTGCCTCTCTTTGTGACAATTGTAACCTGTATTTGAGCTCACATGGATAATGATCGTAGTTATAAAGTGGCTCTAAATCTACTGTCAAATTACTAGGAAGTGAACATTTTTTACCAAAGACAAGTTCATAAGGACTGAATTTCGTCTCTGTATGAACTGTCGTATTATAGGCAAACGACCAAAATGGTAACCAGTCGCTCCATGTTTCAGGGTGATTATCAATTTGAATGCGAAGAAAAGCATTTAAATTTTTATGTGACACTTCCAACGCACCTAGTGATTGGTGGTGGTAAGCAGTCGAATTTAATTGTTTTATTTGAAGCAATTTACATACCTCTTGGAATAATGATGCGGTGAACTCTTTCCCTCTGTCCGTAGTTATTACTTTCGGTACTCCATACCTAAGAATAAAGTTAGTGACCAAACTCTTTGCTACTTCGTTGGTTTTTTTAGAAATTAAGGGATATGCTTCGACATACTTAGTGAGTTCGCATTGTAGCGTTAAAGCATAAGAGTAATTATTATTATCAATTTCAAATGGACCTACTAGGTCTAAATATATCTTTTCAAACGCTGTATTAGCTGTCGTTGTTATTTCTAGTGGCTCTCTTACGGGTAACGAAAATTTCTGACGCTGACATTTGTCACAACGCCTAACAAAATTCTTTACATCCTTATCTAACCCAGGCCAATAATAATACTTTTTTATATTGTTGACCATCCTTCTCATACCTGCATGGCCACTGCTAGGTAGGAGATGGAAGTCATTTAATATCACCTTTCTGTCATCCTTATTATATATCGTTTTTACATTATTTATTATATGTACACGTGGACCGGTCCTATCATTCATAGATTTGATTTCTTCAACTAGTTTTTTAATAAATTCCTTATTACCATCCTTCTTTATTATATATACTTCATTAACATTTATTAACTTACAAAAATCATCTAATTCCCTCACAAACTCGCGTCGCGTCATTCGTGAGTCGGAACTTAGATATTTAATATAAATTATCTTTTCCTTTTCAACATAACAAAATGTATTATTTTCTTTACTAATGACTCTTAATTTTCTCAATGTTTTCAAAACATCTTTATTAACCACACGCAACTCCACTGATTCTGCTGGTTTGACATGATTACTTACGACTTTCGGTTGATCAGGCCTCAAGTCTGTGGGTATTATGTCCAACGAGGAGGATCCTGGCTTATTTATTTTTCGACATTTTGCTCGTGTCATGACACTAACGATGTTCTCATTTAATTCTTTTAACTCTTTGGAACTCAAACAGATTCTAGATAACGCATCTGCAGCTGCATTATCTGAACCCTTTACATACTCTACGTCAAAATTATATTCCTCTAATACCAACCGAAACTTCATAAGCCTGCTCGATGGATCTCTCATGCCAAATAGGTATACTAGAGGTTTATGGTCAGTCCTGATTTTAAAATATTGCCCATACAGGTACGGTCTGAAATGTTTCACGGCCCATACTATCGCTAACAACTCTTTTTCTATAACTGGATAGTTTAATTCAGCCTTATTTAGAGATCTGCTAGTAAAAGCTATAGGTCTTCCATTTTTATTCGACAGAACTGCTCCAATTGCTTTATTAGATGCATCGGTTTGTAAAATGAAATAATTTTCTTTTGAAAAATCAGGGTAATCTAAGACTGGGGGGGACATAATACGTTTTTTGAGTGTTTCAAAAGACTTTTGACATTTTTCAGTCCAAACAAAATTAGTATTTTTCCTACAAAGTTGGTTTAATGGTTGCGCAATTTCAGCAAACTTGGGTATAAACTTTCTATAATAATTTGTGAACGCCACAAATCTTTTACCTTCGTCGGCATTCTGCGGACAAGGATAGTTTTTTACTGCATTTATTTTTTCAGGATCAGGTAAAATCCCTTCGTTAGATATACAATGTCCCAAATATAAAATCTGTTTTTTAAGAAATGTACCTTTTGAAGGATTCAATTTTAAGTTTACTGAACGAAGTCTTTCGAAAACATCCTGTAAGTTTTTATTATGGTGGTCTAGTTGTCTACCAAAAACAATGACGTCATCTAAATAAATCAAGCATTTTTCATTATTTAGTCCTGACATTGCTAAATTCATCATTCGCGAGAAAGAACTGGGACTTGTTTTTAATCCCATGGGCATTCTCGTCATCTGGTATTGACCAGAATTGAAAGCAGTAAATTTTCGACAACTTTTATCTAAATTAACATTGTAATACCCTTGATATAAATCTAAATGTGTAAAATAGACACTTCCAGACAAAGATTCTAAAATTTCTGTAATATCAGGGAGGGGGTACTTGTCGTCCTCTATACAGTTATTTAATTTACGGTAATCCACTACCAATCGCCATTTTTTATTACCCGATTCATCTAATTTTTTAGGCACCAATAATATTGGGCTAGACCAGTCGCTTTTACTAGGTTCTATAATCCCTTCTTTAAGCATGTTGCTAATTTGACGATTAATTTCCTTTTTCTGACTAATTGGTAACCTATAGGGTTTCGAAAACACTGGACTAACGTTTGATTTCAAAAAAATATTGTGAGTGTAAATATCTGTTGTTGTCAATTTATCGCCCTCTAAATAAAAACATCTGCATATTTTGCACAAATATTTTGAATACTTTGACTTTCTAAGTTATTTAAATCATTTAATTTTAATGAGGAAAATAATCGTTTTACTCGGTCTGAATTATTCTCATTTTTCTCAAAACTACAAATAT